TCATCTGGGCCTTCCCCTGACTCCAGGACTGGCCCATTGTCCTCCCCAGCTTCCTCACTGTCCGACTCCGCTGCTGGCGGACCACAACACTCTGAGCTTGTGGGTTGGATTCCGAATGTTTCATTACCAGGCTAGGTAACATGTTCAGCAGAGTTTAGTTAACTGCCCTTAACTCACTTCACAAATTTCTCATCTAGCAAAATAAATTTTGGGCTGAATTGTGGTCATAAGCAGAGGACTACCTGTATGTGTATACAGTATGTGTATTATGTATAGGTATATATATATATATATATATATATATATATATATATATATATATATATACACACTTTATTTTGAGAGCAGACAGATAGACCAATAAATCATAGGAACATCTGTAGGATTACTACTTTCAGGACTCAAAGTAGAGACTGCACAAGCAGTCAAAGATATGAATTTGGTATGTGGGTTTGAGGAAGCAGATAGAGAATGCATGATAGATATTTCTTGCAATTCACAATAGGCTTCTTTGCTCCTTGAGAAGTCCCTGTGGGATCTTCCCAGTTAGTCTGGAATATATACTGTACATTATTATGCTTCAAAACAGTAACTAGGTTCCTATTGCTTATAAGAGGTGGCTTCCATGATCATTGCTCAGAAAAGATACAGAAGAAGGAGGCAGCAAAACTGCACCGAGGATACATCCGTGAGCCAAGAAGACAAGGCATTTCTTCCAAAGCACTGAGAATGGAGAAAATTATGCTTCCCAAACATTGAATTAAGGGGTAATGTTTTAACAGATGCATTTGCTTTGCCTCCCATTTATAAGCAAAATCAGCACAATTTCACAATCTAGAAAAAAGGCTGTGACTAACAGAAAAATATAAGATAATAGCACAGAGAGATCATGAAAATTTTCTAAATATGTTATATCTATGGAGATTCTCAGTCATCCAAGTCATCGTTGTCCCAAAAGTGCCTTTTCAAGAGGGGAAAGAAAAAACAATATCACCTTTGGGACATCCTGAATATGTTTTATGTATATTGTTAAGTGGTAAAAATACTGCCTGGCAAAAATAAATTTAAGGTTGCCAGGTGTCCATTATTTGAGCAGACAGTCTGCTTTTTTCACATTATGTTCACTATTTTTTTTTCCACAAAATAGTGGACATTTTTTTTATTCAAAAGCTTTATGATTGTATATTTTTTAATATTTCTCAATGTTGTACTGAAATTAAAGAATTATTCCTTAAACACAAAGAATTGATCAAAGCTGCGCAGTCAAATAAAAAATACACACGACAGCAAAGTAAAATGCAATTTAATATTTTGCATATTATTATAATATATTTGATGTTTTGAATTTTAAGTAAAGTTTTGAAGTGATTATTTTAATACGTGTTAAAATGTTTGTAAGAAAATATATAATTTAATTGTAAATTTTTTTTATTTTTTTACTACTTAACCCCCCCGCCCCCCCCCCCCCCGCTTATCCGCTATTTTTTGGAAGCAGACCTGGCAACCATAAATAAATTAGGGAATAAAAGTTTGGTCAATATTGTTGTTTTGCCTCTGATTTGCATGAAACATACCCTAATAATCTAGAGTATTGATTTTACCAGTATGAACCTGAGGATGAATACTGCACAGATATTGAAAAAATTGTGATTAATTCTTAGTGCAGTTTGCAAGGAGTGAGTATTTTTACAATTTTTAAAAATGTTTTGTTCTCGAGAGTGGTTAGCTGTAATATTGCTCTCTGAAACTAGGAAATGGTTTGCAGAGTTCAAAAGAGGTAGATTAAATCAGATAATTTCTAATGTATAATGTGTGAGGCTGGTTTAGAAGCAAACATAAATTAAACCCAGTTCATAGAACAAAGAATAATAGAGTTGGAAGGGACCTTGGCGGTCTTGGTGTCTAATCCCCTGCTCGAGCAGGAGACCCTATACCCGTGATGGTGAATCTATGACACGCATGCCATAGGTGGCACATGTAGCCATATCAGTCGGCACGCAAACTCAGTTCCGGCGCGCATCCGCTCACTGGCCAGCTGATTTTCAGGCCTTCTGGGCCCACCAGAAGTAGGGAAACAGGTTGTTTCCTGCCTCCGGAAGGCCTCGGGGGGTGGGGAAGGCAGTTTTCGCCCTCCCCAGACTCCTAGAAAGGCTCTGGAGCCAAGTGAGAGAGAAAAACAGGCCTTATCAGACATTAATACAATTGAGCGAGTCCAGAGGTATTTCACGAGAAAAGTACTCCACTCCTCTGCTCACAACAGAATACCTTATGCCACCAGGATTGAAATTTTGGGCTTGGACAACCTAGAACTATGCCGCCTATGATCTGACCTAAGCATAGTACATAAAATTATCTGCTACAATGTCCTACCTGTCAATGACTACTTCAGCTTCAACCGCAATAATACATGAGCACACATTAGATACAAACTCAAGGTAAACCGTTCCAAACTCGATTGCAGAAAATACGACTTCAGCAACAGAGTTGTCAGTGCCTGGAATGCACTACCTGACGCTATGGTTACATCCCAAAACCCTCATAACTTTAACCTTAGACTGTCTACTGTTGACCTCACCCCATTCCAAAGAGGTCTGTAAGGAGTGTGCATAAGCGCACCAGCGTGCCTACCGTCTCTGTCCTACTGCCCCCATTTATTTGTATCCATTTCCTGTATTCATAGCCACATTTATACTTATTCTTGTTATCTTGTACATGTTTGACAAACTAACTACTTAAATAAATACATACAGTACATAAATGAAGGCATGCTATTTTTATTACTGGGTGGAATGGAGAAAGTATATATGTATCTTTGAGGATCCATTTGCTTATTCTGGGGAGGGGGTTGGAACTGAAGCAAGGTTAAGCTCTTTTGGTCTTCCCATAATAGATCCTTTGGAAAACATCAAGCCAAACATAACACAATAGTTAAAAATGGGTATGCACGGGATTATTTTATGAGATCCTGCCATGTTAGTAGGTGCTTAAGATAGTTTCCATGGAATCTCTCTTCATTCCAATGATAACCTTTGCAAGATTAGGGGACTGGAGGCTAAAACATATGAAGAATGGTTGCAAGAACTGGGTATGTCTAGTCTAATGAAAAGAAGGACTACGGGAGACATGATAGCAGTCTTCCAATATCTGAGGGGCTGCCACAAAGAAGAGAGAGTCAAGCTACTCTCCAAAGCACTTGAGGGTAGAACAAGAAGCAATGGGTGGAAACTAATCAAGGAGAGAAGCAACTTAGAACTAAGGAGAAATTTCCTGACAGTTAGAACAATTAATCAGTGGAACAACTTGCCTCCAGAAGTTGTAAATGCTCCAACACTGGAATTTTTTAAGAAGATGTTGGATAACCAGTTGTCTGAAGTGGTGTAGGGTTTCCTGCCTGGGCAGAGAGTTGGACTAGAAGACCTCCAATGTCCGTTCCAACTCTGTTATTCTATTCTAAGGTGAAGGAAAGCAAAACGAAGGAGGAGACATAGCCCATGTCTGATAATGTTCCCATGGTTGAGGATGGACCTGAAGTTGAGTCTTCAGACTCTAGATACAAACTTAACTTCTACATCAGCAAAATAGATATTCAATGAGTTCATTTTCAGCGCATGGTCAAAATAAGATGCATCAGAAGTCCCATCAAATGTCTTATTCACTCACCATGCTAAAGGGTGGAACTCCCCCTTTAGATCCCAGACCAACTGGCAGAGCCAAATCTATAGATTTTTTATTAATTGAGCAGCATCTACAATGATAACAAAAGATAAGAAATGTTCTTCAAAGTCCTTTTTTTCTTTCTCTCGGTCTCTCTGACTTTTCTCTTAGTCCATCAACTTTATCACCTGAAGGATTGAAGTATGGAATCTACGCATGGTTGTCAGTCTGATTTTCTACACATAGCTCCATTCATTCTCCTGTGTCTCAAAGAGTTCCAGAACTGGAGAACGTCACTTCCCTGATTATAAGATGCTCATCTCCGTTCACAGTCTAACAGAAAAGTCCTGCAACCCCCCCTCCCAATTTCCAGCAGCACTAAGTGAAGATCCAAAGAAAAAGATGGCCTCCAAGACTGTGAATAGAGATGAGCATCTTCTAATCAGGGAAGTGACCTCCTCCAGTTCTGGAACTCTTTGAGACACAGGAGAATGAATGGAGCTATGTGTAGAAAATCAGACTGACAACCATGCGTAGATTCCATACTTCAGTCCTTCGGGTGATAAAGTTGATGGACTAACAGCACTTAGTGCTGTTGGAAATTGGGAGGGGGGTTGCATGGAGTTGGTAGAGATACAGTAGTGGGCAAAATTGTGGAAACCTTTTGGGAAAAGTATATTTTCTAAAACTAGCTAATAACACCACTTTTTTGGGGGGGGACTAATGTCATAAAAGTACATATCAATGGAAAGATAATTTAATCAAGAATGTCATGCAGTAATTTTTATGAAGGATTTGCTATTAGAATAGCAGTTACAGTAGAAAGAAGAAAAGTGAAACATGTAGAAAAAAAACAAGACACACAAAAATGATCACCATAGAAAAAAGGAGATAAACAAAAATGGTCACCCTGTCAGTTAATACTTAGTTGGGTAACCTTTAGCATGAATTATGGCCTTACAACGTCTTCCCCATGGAGTGAACCAAGTCTTTTAGTTCTGCAGTTGTTATCATGTGAAACCAAGAGGGAATGATGGCTTCAATTAACTGGGTTTTATTGCTGAGTTGCTTCTGACTAACAAGTTTCTTTACTTGGCTCCATAGATTTTTCAATTGGGTTAAGGTCTGGGCTATTCCCAGGCCATTCCAGCAGTGGAATAGGATTATCTTGAAACTCCCCCCCCCAAAAAAAGTGGTTCAATCAAACCTTAAGAATACACTTTTCCCAAAAGGTTTCCACAATTTTGGCCACTACTGTATTTAGCCATAACAACGTTCTTTCCTCTGAGAGTCAAGGACGTTCAGCCTGCACCTGGACAGGTCATTTCCCCAATTAGACGATGCTCATCTCCATCCACAAGCAACCTTCAAAGCTGTTTTTATTTCCATCCACAAGCATCCTTCAAGGCTGTTTTCCTCTCCATCCACAAGCATCCTTCAAAGCTATTCTCGTCTCCATCCACAAGCATCCTTCAACGCTGTTTTCACCTGCCTGTTCCTCAGGCTGTAAATGAAGGGGTTGAGCAAAGGGGAGACCACGTTGTTCAGGACACCTACCGTCTTGCTGAGGTCCACCCCCCCGCTTTGCATGGGCTTGACGTACATGAAAATGCAGCTCCCGTAGGTGATGAAAACCACCACAATGTGAGATGCACAAGTGGAGAAAGCCTTTTGCCTGCCCTCCTCGGAATGGATGTGCAGGACAGCTGCAACGATTTTAATGTAGGAAACGATTGTGACAGCCAGAGACCCCAGCACCATAAAGGTGGACATGAGAAAATCCATCAGTTCCAGAAATTGGGTGTCGGTGCAGGCCAGCTTGATCAGTGGTATGTTGTCACAGAAGAAGTGATTGATGACATTTGGACCACAGAAGGGCAGACGAAATAACAGAATCAGGGGCATTATGATATAAAGGAAACTGATCAGCCAAGAGCCCACTACTAACCGCGTACACAACTGATTGTTCATAATAACCGTGTACCGTAGGGGATTGCAGATGGCTACGTAGCGGTCGAAGGACATGGTGGCCAGAATGAAGAACTCAGCGGTGCCCAAAATAAAATAGAAAAAGGCCTGCGTGAAGCAGCCCGCCAGAGAAATGGTGCTGTTGCCTGAGGCCAAGTTTAGCAAAGCCTTCGGGATGGTAGAAGAGATAAATCCTATTTCCAAGACAGAAAAATTCCGGAGGAAAAAATACATGGGGGTATGGAGGCGATGGTCAATCAGAGTGATGTAGATGATGAGAAGGTTTCCCATGATGGTCAGAAGATACGTGAGAAAGAGGACCCAAAAGAGAAGGATCTGAAGCCAACGGATATGGGTGAAGCCTACAAGAATGAACTCGGTTACTGAAACTGTCTGGTTCAATATTTCTGCCATTCCATTATGAGTTATTTCTGGATCAAAGTCTTTAGAAGAATAGGAAAAGGTCTGATGCGTCCAACCTTTCCCTCAAAAACATTAAAAAAAATAATAATTCCTTTTAAAGTTGTCGTGATCGACAAGATGAAAAAAAAACCCAGAATAATTGGGAGAACTGTTAAATTTACATTCTAGAAAACTCTAGTAAGAAAGTCTACAACTATCAGTGGAGGAAAGAGTTATTGGAGAAACAAAGTAAATAGTACCGCAGATCAAAGTGGGAAGGAGAGGTATCTTTTCCGAACCCTTTCCCCTTTTTCTAGGAAACCTCCCATTTTTCTAAATTGAAAAATGCATGCCCATGTCTTTAAAGGTTTTCTTGTATGTTCCTTCTGTTGCAATTCCCATCTTAATTAAAGACGTTGACTTGTTAATTTGTTTACCAGCAACACTGGTTCTTCGGGGAACTCATTCTGTGAACAAAAGTTTATTCGATTCTTCTAAAACTTGAATCGATCTTCTCAAACAGTTAGGGGCCAGCCCTTCAAGGTAGACCAAGCTTGGTAACCAAAAACATCAAGCTGATTGACCAACCCAACGATAAAGAATGGTGATTCTTTGTAGCTGAATTCTTTATTGGTTCACATCTATAGATAAAATCTTGCAAGAACACTACTATATGAACCTACAATGTACCATGGAGGAGCTGTTTTCAACCTCTTTCATATGTAATACCAGGACTGAGTTGTCTCTTGCTGTTCTGGAATGTCACCCCTCCCTCCTGAGAATCAACTACCTTACTGCATTCCATCACACTAATAATCTTTTGATTATAAGACGTCAGTAACAGAATATATATATATCTATACTTATATCTGTTATCTAATACGTCCTTGACGAAATAATTAAATGAATAAATGATGAAGAAAAACACAAAACTCATGGCTCATAAATTTTGGGGTGTATAGGAAAAGAAGGGCCAGAATAAGCAGGGGGATCCTAAAGAAATGTAATAGCAGAGCCCAAGAAAGGAAAAATATTTGTGATTCTTATGGGTGGGAATATCAATATCAGAAGGAGAGGAACCCTGTCAGATGTTAATCCAATATTGATATGCTTTATCTGGTTGGCAGATGGAAAGTAGATAGATTGACACAACACAATGCCAACTTTTCCCCATATCCTTGCTTCTCTTTTGGTGTCTTAGAACCTCCTAAATTATTGTGTCACCTGAACCCAAAGCAGTTGTTTAGACTTCACATGTATTGAGTTTGAGGTGCTTGAAGTCAAGGAGGCTATCTCTATGCATTTGATTTCATCTCCCATATACACAAAAGCATACATAGGCACCAACATAAGACCTCCTTGCACCAAATTGCTTGAAATGGATGACAAAGTCCTTTTGGCTCACTGAAGGTAGACTTTCATATGGAAAATATTAAGGAGGGATTTCCATGCAGTTGTAAAACAATAAAGAAAGGAAAAAAAAAACTAGAACGGAACAGAACAGAATAGAATGAATCTGAAATGACTTGATGGCATGTAATCAAGCAATTAATTAAGACAATGTTTCTCAACCTTGACAACTGTAAGATGTGTGGACTTACACCCAGGGGTGAAATCTAGCAGATTCTGACAGGTTCTGGAGGACCGGTAGCGGAAATTTTGAGTAGTTCAGAGAACCGGCAAATACTACCTCTGGCTGACCCCAGAGTGGGGTGGGAATGGGGATTTTGCAGTATCCTTCCCCTGGAGTGGGGTGGGAATGGAGATTTTGCAATATCCTTCCCCTGCCTCCCCCACCAAGCCACGCCCACAGAACCGGTAGTAAAAAAATTTGGATTTCACCACTGCTTCAACTCTCAGAGTCAGTCAACATGCTTCCTCAGGAATTCTGGGAGTTGAAGTCCACATATCTTAGTTGTTACACTTGAGGAACACTGAATTAAGAAATAGACTTAGGGTTAGGAAAGTCTGAATTACTTAAGTCCACCTAAGATAAAGTCTACCTAAGAGAAAAATCTGCCGTAAGTTCTCTTCCATTCCAGACAGAATAAGAGATGTATATAGTAGGATGGCACAGGTTAGAGAGAGAAGCTTCTTGGATGAGAAGTCTTCAAAGAAAAAACAGAAAGTCCAGTTGCCTCTTGAAAAAGCACCTTTGGGACAACCATGACCTAGATGACTGAGAAGCTCCATAGACAGTTAGAAAGAGAAGATACAAAAAGATGAACTGAGGGCAGAAGGAAATGGTAGGAACGTCAGTGTAACCAGCTGGAGGCATATTATACAGCAGAATGCAACTTCAATCAGAGGTCCTTCGTGCTTTCTGGGCTTGGTTATCTTCTTGTAGATGTTTCATTCTCCAAACTAGTTAACATCATTAGTGATACATCTGATGATGTCAACTAATTTGGATAATGAAACATCTTCAAGAAAACAACTAAGCTCAGAGAGCACCAAGGACCCCTCAACCTGCGCTACAAATATTCTCATTTATTGTCAAATTTCATCTTCTAGACAATAAGCGTGCAGGGGACTTATCAAATGTCCTCCCCTCCTTTCCTCACAAGACACCTAGGGAAGACAGACAAAATAGATTTCTTTGTATCAGCTCCCACTTGGAAGTATGAGCAGGTCCCACAATATTGCAATTCTGCAAACAATTCAATGATGCATTGTTTTGGTGCAACTGCACCTCTAGCTGATTGAAAAGGGGGGTTACCTTGAGTATTTAGTTGAGTTGAGCGCTTACATTAATTTTGACTTAGAGTTTATAGTTTGATCTTCTTGTGATGGGATATTGTATGCTATCCAAAGTCCCTTGGGATTAGAGTAGGTTGCAAATACTGTAAAGTAACTAATTTACTCACTAACTCTGTTATTCATAGAGGTCAATAGATTTATAAGTTTGGAAAGCTGGTGAATGCAAAGCTGGATTCTAACATGCCTTGATAAAATGCATTCAAAGCAAAAAAAATTGTTTTCAAAATAAAGACTGGAAACTCTTCCTGTTCAAGTGTCTCATCTTGTTATTCCATCTTTGAGCACCAGAGATCTTGTTACTCAAATGGTTTTTATGATCGCACCACTGAATTCACATTGCGACCAAGAATATGAATTTGTTACCTATTTTTTTTATATAAGTTTCCATGTCCCAAAATGAGTACATAATGAAAATATGTTCATGTACAGTCTGGATTTAATGAGGACCCGAAGGACTTAATTAACTTGACGCTGTTAGCTACAATTTTATGGATCATTTTTCTGTTAACGAATTGCTCTTTTTCCCCTTTTAATTTATAGAAGGCGGTATAATTCATCTAAGTCAGGAGTCTGCAACCTTAAATACTCAAAGAGCCATTTGGACCCGTTATCCACAGAAAAGAAAACACCGGGAGCCACAAAACCCCTCCTGTGCCTGACTATTTCTTGAGCAGCCACAAAAGAATATTAAATGTTCTTTTTTCTTCTGAAACTTTTCTTTTCTTGGATTTATTTGCATATTTTAAGTGACAGGGATCTGCAGCAGGGGTGGGTTCTAAATTTTTTTACTACCGGTTCTGTGGGCGTGGCTTATTTTGTGGGTGTGGCTTGGAGGTCATGTGACTAGGTGGGCGTGGCTAGCTGGTCAGAGTCATTTCTGGAAGGTCCTCGCACTTACGATCAAGTCCTGGCACCTACGACCCGACTCATTTGTTTGCTTTTAACACTGATCAGCTGTAGGACGGCTCTTTGAAGCCCCACGGCAAGAGTTTAAACAGTTTTTTTTCCCTCTAGTCATCAGCTGGAACTCAGGAGGCAGCAATAGATTGGGGGTGGGGGCAAATAAAAGGTAAGAATAACGTGGGTGGGGGGGTGGGAGGCCAGGGGGGGGAAACCGGTTTAGTGACATCATATCGTCACCGCTACCGGCTCGGCCGAACCAGACCGAATTGGGAGGAACCCACCACTGATCTGCAGTAGAGAGGTGAAAGAGCCACATGCGGCTCCAGAGCTGCAGGTTGCTGACTCTTGGTCTAAGTTAACTGGCTGGAGAGTAAACATAAAATTTAAGGGATCTTTTTGTTATGAGATTGAATTGTAAATAGAAATCAAGATAATTTAAATAAAGGTGTAAGTTTAAGGTAGAGATATTTAGAAGTAGAATTTGTGTAAAGAGGTTAAATAGGTTAGAGATACCGATGCAGAAAAGTTGTTATTAGGATTGAAATTTTGATATGTTTGGACTTCCTGTTTGCTGCTGGCCGCCGCCAGACGTTCCTTTGGGATCGTCAGCTTCCACTGCCTGTCAGAGCCGCCTTCACAACGGAACGGCGGCTCGAAAAAACTCCGTTCCCATGAGGAAACGGAGATAGAGCCGGCAGGGGTGGGTAGAACTCTCTGCAGAGTCCCAAAAGTTTTTCTTTTACTTTTGGGATGGAGCGGATGAGATGCCCCATATCCCCAGCCGCTGCTCCGGGCTTTGGGAGACCTCTGCTAATGCAGAGCCAGGCGTCAAAAGCAAGCCTGCGAATTTGACAGATTACTCAAAGAAAATGTGAGCTGGACCTGTAATACTGAAGCGCAAGTATTTTACTTATCTTTTAAAAATTACTTAAGAGAATAGAGGAAGAGAAAGAGGAAAAAAGTTTCTTTTTAAAATGGCGTCTGCCGCGGCTGGAGAAGAGTTTGAGAGGGAAAGTTCTTCCGTTTTTTATTATTACAATGTAGCGGAATAAATACCACTGGCTACATTTGTAGATAAAACTCCGCTCCTGTTTTTGTTTTTCTCTTTTTCCCTTGTTGCTGGCTGGAAGTCTTTTGTCTTGTTTTTTTTTTTTTTTTCTTCTAACAAAGCCTGCTTAGGCGGAAACATGGCACTGAGGCTTGTGAAGTCAGACAAGCAAATAGGTGGGGGGGATTCCCCCACTAAGAATTTAAAGGAACAAGTTTTAACTCTTCAGTCCCAGAAACCTGATTTTAATATAATAGAATTTCTCTTAGAGGAGATTGAAAGAAGGGATGAGATTGTGAATCAGCAACTTGAAAAATTTAAGCAGGAAACTAAGGAATTGGTGAAATCCAAGTTTGACTTTTTGCAGCAAAAAATTTTAAAAATGTCAGAATTCATGATTCGGTTGGATACAAATACTAATTTACTAGAGTCAAAAATGGATGAAATTCAAGATAAATTGGACAATAGAATTCAAAAAATTGAAAATGATTTGTTAAATATTCAGGATTATAGTTCAGAAGAAAAATTTAAAATGGATGCTGACCAAAAGTCTGGTAATGTAGAAAATCTGCAACAGAGGATTGATAAAGAGGTTCTAAAGATACAATACAATTTCACAGAATATGCAATAAGACTTAGAGGTTTGCAGGAAAATAACAGAGATGACTTAAGGAAAATATCCTCTGAATTTCTAGCTGGGATTTTAAAGATTCAACCTGAGGAAGTGTTTTGTAGGATTGACAGAGCTTATCGAATAAACTCCTGGACTGCCAAGCAAAGGCAATTGCCTAGAGATGTGGTAATCTATTTTTCAGATAAAGAAATTAGGAATAAAATTGTGCAAAATTCCTTCAATTCTAATTTGCAATTGTATGGAAGAAAGATTTGGATTTACAAGGAACTCCCACCTAAGATATTAATGGAAAGGAAGAAATTTGGCTTTCTGGTGTCTGAGTTAAAAAGGAGAAATATTCAATTCCGGTGGGACGTCCCAGTTGGTATTATATTGAGATATCAAGGAGAAAGATACCAGTTAAATACTGTTGAAAGAGCGGAAGAATTTTATCAAAATAGGTTGAAAATGAATTTAACGTCTTCAGATATAATACAGGATAAGCAGAAGGAGCTGGAACTAAAGACAGAGACTGTACCAGATAAATTGCCTTTGGATTTATCGGATACCCCAGCTGGATTATCTACAAATTTGAGAGAAGTGCCATCTGATTTTAATGTGATGACTTATCAAGGCAAGGACAAGCATGGAAACCAATTAGAGGATATACAAGGGATAAAAAAGAAATGCAAGACACAAAAAATTAGGATGGAAGTCAAACCCACAAAAAGAAAACAAAAAAAGAAATAGGTTGTACAAAAATAGAAATTTCTAACCCAAGCAACAGTGAAGCCAGTGATTTTAAAATATGAATGATTATGTGAAAACATAGAGGAGGCGACATATTGGTTAATATCATCCTGAGGATAGTGGCAGATCTCTGCATTGCCGTAATTTTGGGACATGGAAAGAGCCTCAAATTGATGGTTTTGAATTATCTACTTTGAAACTTCTTT